TCACTCAACTGACATGTTTGACACTGGAAATCTAATATTGAACATGACTTAAATAAATGAGGAAGCTAAGACTTCATTATTTCAAAAGACACATGACCTAACCGATTATGCCACAAAAAAAATTTGACTCTTATTTAACTGACTAAGCAACTTTGAAGATGACACCGAGAAACCAGCCTTGTTGTCGAGAGTGTAGAAACCATCCACTAAACTTCCTCTACCAATCGTCCTCCCAGMAGTTAGATCCTGAAAAACACATGAACTAGGAAAAAAGGTCACACTGCAGTTTAAAGAGTTTGTGATACTACTAATGGAAAGTAGATTGATGGGAAGTTGAGGAACATGCAAAACATTAAAGTTAAGTCCACGAGGAAGGGATATTGATCCTTGGCCTGCAATGGAGGAGAATGATCCATTTGCAAGTCTCACCTTATACCTTCCTGACAAAAGGTTATAGGACTAGAAAAGGTTTGGCTTACGTTCATGTGGTTGGAGGCCCCTGAGTCAATGATCTAGGGGAAATCAGGGGCAGTGGATACATGGAAGGCAGAGGTTGCATTACCTGATGTAGATGCAAATGAAGTAGAAGGGGTACTAGTGACTAAACTATCCATTTGGTGCAAGGTCCTACCATATGATTCCAAGTGATTATGGAAGGAATTCATGATATCTTCCTTGGGGTTAGAACCAGTGAAGTAATCCCGAGCAATACCAGTCAACACTCCACCATACTGAGTATCTTAGGTTGCCACATTGTGTGCTGTATTAGACTTCTTATGGCCCTGCACCTTACCCTGTTCTTGGTTCTTTACAGCCCACTCTGCCCTCCCATGGAGCTCCCAACATGTGTCCCGTGTATGTCTTGAACGTCGGCAGTGGCTTTAGAACAACTTGTCCTTATCAATTTTCTTGGAGTCATTTTTCCTTCCCATATTGTTACCACCCATTGCAACTAATGCCACCTGTTGCTCCCCCTCAGTTGTAACCATCACACTCCTACTTTCCTCAGAGAGCCTTCACAGCATCGGCCCTCTCCTACTAGGGTTACCTTGGTGCTATGACCAAGGAAGAGCCCAGAAAAAAACAGCAACGGTTGATGGTTCTGATCAGTCCGATTAGGGTTTCTGCCTTCACTGTCCAAGAGTCAGAAAACTGGGTGGACGGAATGTGATTCAGAGGAGAAAATAGATTCCTATCGCCCAGAGTTATGCTCTGATACCATCTTTTTCCAGAAGAGAGAGGAGAGGAGAGATAGAAAAGAGGAGAAAAAATGTTTGAGTCAAAAACTGAAGCTGGTGGCTCCCAGCTTCCTATTTGTATTAACATGATGTAAAATAAAAGAAATAGAAATTACAAGCATGCCCCTAGTGGCCCACCCTAAAAATAAGAACTTAAACAAAGAAAAGAACATGCTGACAGCATCCTAGACTGACAGCACCCTAACAGCAGAAATAAAAAAACTAATTCTAACAACAATAGTTATAGCAAAAAGGTCTCCCTTGTGCCAAGGGTTTTAATAAAGCCAATAACATTACATATCATGTAAACTTACCGTGTGTCTTTCCATGTCTTTCCGTGTGAGAATAAAGCGAGAAAGACATGAAAAACTCTATTTGGAGCTTCCTGAAATCAGAACAAAATGGGCTTCTCGTGTCTTTTTGGCGCACCAACTTTTGACGGCTAGATCTGTTACAAACCAAACAGAAAAAGACCGCGGTGCGGTCTGCCCGGCTTGTAAACAACCGAAAGATCACACAGAAAGACGCACCAAACAGGGCCCTAGTTGGTCATGTTCCTGCATCCTAGTCAAGTTTTGGGTTTCTGAAGAAAAGAAGAAATACCCATCTTAGCATTTTGAAAGATCTGCACACAGTGAAGTTCTATGGTTTCTTTCATGTTTGTGGTTTTGGTCGGGTGAGTTATGAAACTGGGTTTAGTTTTGGGAATTTCCAATTGAATTAGCTCTTCTTCCCGATTCTCGTTCTTAGTTTTTTCTTGGTTAGTTTTGTTTGCAAAAAGAGTGATTAGAATTTCTAAGAAATTTGTAAAAGAAAGAAAAATCTGTAAAAAGTGTTTTCTTTTCCTTTTGCTTCTCTCAGTTACATTTTTACCCATACCAGTTACCAGATTCATTTTGTGCTCTTGATCTGGTGTTCCTGAACTGGGTTTTTACTCGTGGTAATCTGAGTTTTATTTTTAGATTTTGCTGCTGATTCCTGAAACTGGGATTGCTCTAGATTTGGGGGAGATAAAGAAGAAACCCAACCTTAGGGAAAGCTTTTTGATTCTTAGTTTTCACCAAACAAATTTTTGTTAGCAGTTCTCTCTGAAACTATGTGAGGTTTCTTTTTTTTTTTTTTCTGAAATAGTTCTCTGATTGCAGTTCCTAAAGATTTTTGTTGACAATGTTTCTGCAACTCGGACAAATTGAGATTTTGAAGGCTGAAGAAGCAAATACTTCCTGAAAGTTCCTGTATCTGTTTTATATATTTTACCTTCTTTTCTGTTTTGGATCCTGAAACTTCTGCAATTCAAATGCAATAAGCTGTTTTTTGACGGAGTTGTGAGGACAAACAAACATGGAAGATGGTGTTTTTCCACAGGCTACAACTCTGGGGACTCTTCCGGAAACCACTGGGGATTTTGATCTTATGGACGAACTCTTGTTAGAAGGGTGCTGGTTGGAGGCAATTGATGGATCTGATTTCCTGCGGCCTGGATCCTCTATTTCAACTGATTTTTTTTTACTCTTCTTGTTTTTCTCCTACACCCAAGATTAACAGATCTTCGTTGTCAACAGATCTCTTGCACACATACCAACCAAAACATCTTCTTCTCACTTATAGAATCTCTCTCTCTCTCTCTCTCTCTCTCTCTCTCTCTCTCTCTCTTGATTGCAGCCGAAAAATCTGTTTCTGCACGCTTGGGTTTCCTCATGTTGAAAGAGTGATTGAGAAATCTGACAAGTTCTATGGGTTCTGGTGTCTTTCAAATCCGAATCAAATCTTGCATTTTCCTAATCTGATCTGGAGTACCCACTGAGTTTTCATGGCATGAAAACAATCTGTTTTGGTTCAGTCTCAAGGTACAAGACAATGAACAGTGTCTTCTTTCAAAGGGTAGTTTTGACATTTAAAAGAGTCTTAAGTGGCACATATCATCACGTGATACAGATAACTGATGAACCGTTAACAATAGGGACCTATTAGACACATTTTGAAAGTTTTTTTTTTCTTTTTGATAAATAAGCCACATTTTGAAAGTTCAAGTACTGCAGAGACACATTTGGAAGTTTGGGGACTGACTTGAGACAACCCCAAAAGTACAGGGTACTGATCAGGAATTTTCCCTTAATTATAAAGTCATGGATTGACCCATTTCACCTAAACAGTTGAACTGCTGACCTGCCACCTGGACAGCAAAATGGTTCAATCTCATCAGTTTTAAAAATACTGATTTTCACTAGGGAATATATCAATTCCAGCAATATTTTGTATTGGTGCCGAGGGAAATGGAAATATGTCGTGGAGTATTAGGAAATATATCAACTTTTTAAGCCATGATATTGCCACTAAATTCTACAAGAGGACAAACATTTTGGATATTCATTTCACAAGAGAAGATGATCAATGGTTCAAATCTTGTCCTAGTATGTAGTCCATACAAAGAAATACACCTTTGATGAGATATTAGGGGCCAAATACACCTGTTATCATGATCTAATCTTATGGGTATTCTCTGAATGCATGATAGTTCCATCAATAAATACACTTCAAAGTCATTCACATCATCAAAACTGAGGTGCTCACACCGCTTCGTTAGTTCATTTGCAACTATCTCAAACATTCTTTAATAGTAGCTCTGTTTATTGAAAAGAGAGGTGAGCTCTTTCCTTAAAACAAACCCTTCTCACCACCCATCCCTCCCAAAATTATACCCGATTACCTTTGCTAAAAAGCAATATATATTTCTTGCCAACTCCTTTAAATGGTTGAGAATATGTCAAAAACCACATCCATATGATTCTAACAGCTCAAAAGTTTGCCATCAAATGGTTCACGACTATACTTGCTAGAAATAACTATCTTCCAAGAACATTCAGTTCCCATACAGACCTTCAGTTCCACTAGAGTAGCAATGATCCCATCCAGACCTTATACATTGATCAAATAAGCTGCGAACTAAGATCCCATTTTCCTTGGCATTACATACTTCTTCCTCTCCACCAAGTGGTATATTTTCTGGTCATCCAGGCCATCCTATGGAAAATCTCTTTCGTTCTTATCCTGGTATAAAAATAAACTGGAATATTGAATAAAGTATTTTTTACCAATGTTAACTTGCCTCCTTTGGATAAATATCTTTTTTTTTTCAACTATTCATCTATATGTAAAACCAGTCATCTATTTGCAAATCTATTCCACCAACATTCTCACATTTCTTGTTAATTACTTTCCATGATTCCATATGTTTGAAAAGCATGGAATACTTCAATTAATTTTGAGATAGATAATGTCATTTCTTCTGAAATTTGAAATATGCATATAATTTATATGCTTTTGGAATTTGAAGTAGCCGCTTACAATTAACTATCAAGTTAGTAATGCATGTAAAATCCTTGTTTTATTCATTTGTCATGGTCTAGAACCTGTTAATTATGTCAGGAAATGGTAAAGTTTTTTTTTTATAATAAACAGGAAGTGGTAAAGTTGGGCAGTGCAATCAGGGAAACAACATGTACCTCTTCCCAGGGTGAGTTTTATCATTTGTACATAATAGGTATATAGTGAACTGCGCTTTTAACTTCTTAGGCATCATCTATTTGGTCGTGCAGGATAGGGCTTGGTACTCTTTTATCGGGCTCTCGTGTGATCTCAGATGGCATGCTGCAAGCTGCTGCAGAATGGTATGTTGTAAACTTGTAATTCATTTCCGAATTTTTTATTGAAGTAGACAGCATATTGATAATTTAATTTTTTGCTGCTTTCATTTTGTAAATCATAGTCTGGCTGCATATATGAAAGAAGAGGAGGTTCTCAATGGAATAATATATCCATCAATATCAAGGTAAGTGTCATGCAACATGCTTCTACTTAGGCTAAGGGGCCATTGATAACAGTTTAAGTGTGATGAGTTGAACTGAAAAACTTAGTGCTTTGTCTTTTAGTGAATAAGTTTTTAAGGAGGTTGTGAGCTCCTTAATGGTTGAAGCTGAAATTTGGTAGATTACTATACCCTTGAATATTTCATTATTTAATCATTTTATCCAGGAGAAGACAAAACAATGAGTTGTTCAGTTAAGCAACTTTAACCATTATCAAATGGCCCCTAAGACTATTCTTCATGTTAGCTTATGCTTTAATCTATTTAATCCATGCAGCATTCGTGATATAACGAAAGAGGTAGCTGCAGCAGTGGTTAAAGAAGCTATAAAAGAGGATCTGGCAGAGGGATACCGTGATATGGACTCCCGAGAGCTTCGAAAACTAAATCAGGTGTGTATGCTATTAATAGGATACTGTAACTATTTGACATTTGTTAAAGGCCTTCTGGTATAATTATCTATTATCTAATTCATATTACTTTACACAATCTATAAAGAACATGTTCATACACTTGAGAGGGCCATACTCAAAATTAGTGGTCCTAAATGCTATCTTGGTAGACAAGTGTACCATATTGGATGTTTATTTCTACCTGGACCTGTGGAATTGCAACTTTTCAGAAAGGGTAACTATATTGATTGTATTAAATAAGTGTAGGCAAAGAGGCTATCTAGCAGTTTATTGCCAGTGCATTTTGCTCTGGAGGTATCCATCTGACCTCAACAGACACTAGCTTATACTACCAGATTGCATTGCTTAATCTCCTTAGCTAGAAAGTGAGAAGAGAGTAGGGCTTGTTAGGCAAATCTGAGGCTCCATATGTGTAGCCATCAGTTCTTTGATAGAATCAGCATCCCCTGTGGTCATATCATGACCGTCTAATCAGGAAGAATTTTATCATGAGAGATATATCCATAAATGGATCCATTGGATGAATATTCCCCCTTGTGCATTACATTTATGGTTGAAGTTCTTAGCATGCACCAAAATTGGGTGAATGGCAAATTGAAGTTTGAACTGCATTAACATCTTCTATAGTTGGTACCCTGGACTGCATATTGAACTGATACTTATTATGTCAAAACCTCTATTTGAGTACCCTACAAAACTTACATTTACTAAAACTGCACTTTTGACAATTGATAACCATTATTATTTTCACCTTCTCATGAGTGCAGGAGGAAATCGTAACTTTTGTGAAGAACAACATGTGGAACCCAGAATACCCAACCTTGGTATACAACAGGGATTAAACTAACCCCAGCCATCCGTAAGCATTTCCATCAAGCAGGAGGCAGGAAAAGTTTAGTTACATATATTGCCCTCAAGTTCTTGTAGAGAAGTACAATATTTATTCAGTGTCAAATTTTTAATTTGGCACTTTCTTAAATTGTAGTTGCTATGCCTATCATGGATTTTGTAGGAGGTTGTAATTGAGAAGAAGGTTCTTAAGTTTTCTTTTCTTATTTATATATAATAAATTATCAAACCACCTATTTTCAGATAAAATGAAATCGTGGATAAAAGAGATCTACGAGGCCAACTTCTCACAGTCATCCATGTTGTAATGGTTATTATTGATTACAGAACAGCATATTTAATGATATTAATATATATAAAGCAATGAAGGAAAGAAGAACAATGTAACCAAGCCTCTGCTCATTATTGCTGATGGGTAAGGATCCACCCATTCCCCCCACCCCCTTACCCAAATTATTTTTCCATTCAAGACCTTAAGGTTCGGACATGCAATGTTTTTATCTTTTTTTCAGTTTTAGCTCGATGTCAGTTTCAACTTGTTTGGCATCATCACATGGTTTAAATGTCAGGTAAAAATGCCTGAATATATGGAATGTTGAAATTAATAAGCTCCAACATTGTATTATATTCAGGGTTGTAGGTAGGGCAGAAAAGTTGTTCTAACCCCTAAGCTGTCAATGGACCGAATTCTGATTTGGTTCCATCCAATTCGATAAAGACCAATATGGATCAGACTCAACCCAAAATCAGAATATGGAAATACAATCCATACATTATTAATAAAAACGATTTTAGTCCAATCCAATTGATCTGGTCCAACCCGAATTAATAAGATTATATTTGTCAAAAGTAATGTACCCAGTCCACCCCTTTTTATATATGTCCAAAGTAGTTTATCTTCCTGTACGTACAAATTGCTTTTTAGTAAGACCCATTTTAACAAAGAGAATTCATGCACAGGAAAAGAAAATTATACTGGTAGAATTCACTGTATTTGTCAAGTTTGTACAAACTGCAGAGAGAACATTTTTAATTGAAAATGGAGACTAACATGGAATGTGATCAAAAGATTCCTTGACTCGTTTAAAATCCCCAGATAAAAGATGAAGGGACAAAATGAGAAAGCACATCCTCAAGTTCTATCTATTTAGAACTATTCCAACTATAAGAAACAAGAAAAGAAATATATATCCTCTTAGAAATAATAAAATAAAATGAGCTAGAAAGAATCCCAAATTGAATCAACTTACAAAGGACGTCCAGGTTTCGGGTTAGGATGCAGTTTATGCATTGCTGGACTCACGCATCCAAATATTGCTGATGGCTTAGGTTTTTTTGGCTTACTACCAAAAATGAAAGTGCGCAAAGGAACTTTAGGGCGATTGCTGCTTGAAGAATGCTTCATTTGTAGGGGATTGCTTTTTGATCCTGATTGGCCAAATTCCTCATTCTTTTTCTTGGGTAGATTGCCAAATTCCTCATTCATACTCAATAAAGTCTTCTCAATTTCAGACTGTAAGTGTCTCACATGAAGTAGAGCTCTTTGTAATTCATGTGCAACTTTGTTATTCTCTTGTTTCATGTTCAGAACCTCTCCTTGGAACTTGGCAGCCTGGTACTTGCTCAACTGGTCTTCACTTCCAGAACATGCTTGTGACATTCTTGATATTTCTTCTTGTATTTTGCACAGAGATGAGAATCTGTCCATTAATTCATCTTTTAACAATGTATTCTGTTCTAACCAGAGTGTCAGTTCAGTTAATATTTCCCTTAGGTGTTTGTATATTGGTCGGGCATCTGATCTTACAGACTTCTCTGCATTCCCCTCTTTATTCTTGTTTTCCTTCAATTTTGAGAACTCGTCTTGTAGATCCTGGATTTCGGTCTGGAATTTCTGTACCTGATGGAATGATGTGCAGAATCTAAACCAGAAATCTAGGTTTTCCTCCAATAGATCATCAATGGCCCTTCGGAACTTCTCTTCAATGGATGAAACAGTTTGAGGTTTATCAACTAATACAACCTTGATATCTTCATCAACATCATAACCTTCTTGTTTAGGCTGAGTTTCTGAGGTTGTGGTTGCAATGGATTTGTTGGTCATTTCTGCAGCTCCAACATTTAGATCTTCTAACAAATCTGATGCTGGCTGGTTGTCTGAAGGCATTGTCGGAAAATTAGTTGACTCAAAGTCGGCTCCTGCTTGCATACCATCATGGGGTTTTTCTTGCTGTGAATTATTAAAATCTTTGGAACCAACAATGGAAATTTGAGCAGAACTTCTCTGAAGAGAGCTAATTTTCTGACGTAAAGATTTAATCTCCTCGTCCTTCATGGCATTAGCACTTTTTAGTTCCCTCAGTTGCACCATTGTCTCATAGTGACTATCTCGGTTTTTTCTCGCTAATTCAGATAGTTTCCTCTTTAATTCCTTATAATTTTGAACAACAGAAGTGTACTCCTTCAATAGAACGTGTTCTCTATCTTCCGATCTAATTAAGAGCAATTCCTTCAAGTCTAGTAGATCATCCTGCTCAGTGGCCTCTTCCTCTGATTCAACATTTATAAGGTTATCTTCTGCTTGGGACGATTCCTGCTTCTCAACGGTGCTCTGCTCTTTTTTGACATTACTTTTTTCAGAAATATCATCAACACTATTGTTTCTCTTGGGTTGAATTACTTCTTCATCTTGATGACTGTGATTCTGAACCTCATCTGCCTTCTCTTTCATGTCTATCCTTCTATCCTGTACTTCCAACTCAGCATCCAATTCCCTTACTCCCAAATTGTTTGAACCGTCAATCAGAGTGGTCTGATCTTCTTCGAAACTTTTGGGTGATTGGAAATCAGGACTCTCTACTTCTTGGAGTGAACTAGTTGTTTCAACCTCTTCATCAGATTTCACATTATGCAGATTTTCAGAAAGATGATTGAGGTTGCGATGTGCTTCAGTAAATTTCATTTGGAGGTTGTTGTTTTGATCTTTCAGATTCCTCTCAAGATCCTGTATTTCTTTCAACTCAGCATCTAGTTTTCTGAGTCTGTCTCCCAACTTGTTTGATCCATCAATCAGAGTGGCCTTATCCTCTTCCAAGCTCCTAAGGTGTTCATGAAGTTCATCAGTTTCGAACTTTAATCTCTTCATTAAAGCAGTCTGACGTGAAACTGCAATTTCCAGGTTCATGACTTCATTAACTAATTCATCAATCTTCTCCACCATTTCTGACACTGTGAGAGATGTATCAGAGTTTATTACAGAGTGTTCCCTGACCTTATCACGTGTAGACTCCATTTCAAGTTCCTCTTTCTTCAGATTGCTATCTACTTGCTCTAAATTCTGGTTTCGACTTGAACCCAATAATTCCTTTTCATAAGAAGGTGCTGACTGGTCAATCTGATCGCGGAGAAGTTCACATCTTAGGGTCTTCAATTTCGTACGGGCATCCTTAATTCGTTGATATTCTACCTTTGCCTCCTTAGCAGATAGCTTGTGTTTCTTTTTCAATTGAATCAAGGTTTCTTCGCATGATTTTAGAGCTGTGACAGCCATGAGATGTCGAGCTTCATCATCCTCAATAACAGTTTCAACACCGAAGTCATCTTGCAAGCTGCAAACTTTGTCTTGCATTTCAATCATACAGTCCTCAATTTCCCAATACTTAGCAAGACTGCTCTCATATGAACTCTTGAAGAACTCCTTCTCAGTTTGTAGAGCCAAGATTCCTTTTTGGAGTCTATCGATCTCTTCACGTGCCTCAACTTTGCTCGTCCGAGCACTACTAGAATGTGATTTCTCTTCAGTTGTCTTCTTGGATTGGGATTTCTTTCCATGTAATGTAGGTAGGGTCTTTGCTCCTTTCTTTGGAATCTTTGGAGTATTTGGTTTTGGGACTTTAGGAACATCTGTAATGGGGTTGACGGATTGGGTGGACATTTTCAGAGGAACAACCTCATCGTCTTCATCCATTGTAAACTGAAATTGCTCTGGACAAATAGTTGCAAGGGTTTTGTTAGCACTTTGCAGCTCTCCAGATATATGATCATACCTCTCAGCCAAGCCTCTATATGCCCGGTAAGTTTCTTCCACAAAGTTTACGAGTTCGGGTCTCTTTCTGTAATACATCTCTGCCCTCTTGGCAAAGGAGTCTCCATCCTCTTCAATGAGTTTAAGCGTGTACTTCACCTTCTCCTCCATATCTGCAAAAATTTTTGTAGTCAAAGAGTAGTGGTATAAACCGGTGCCACTTACAGTTACCATTGATGGTAACAAGTCATTTTTGTGCATTAATTTGTAAAATACAAAACCATTAGTCAAGTCATTTTCTGGGGTTCTTAGAGGTGAGTGAATAATAAAATCTAAATAGTTTTATGCAGGTGCCCAATAAAATATCTTTGTTTTTTCAGTTGAGCTGGAATTAAACAAGAAAAACTCAAGTAAATTCAATTACTACGATCTCCAAACTTGACATTCTATGACAAAACATATAGGAAGGTTTGTTGCTGTTGATGTCTCAGGCCGTTGTGCATTGGAAATTTGCAGAATAACAGAAACAGAGAAAACATCAAAATCGAAAACTGAAACCATACGTGTTTCCTCTGGCGAGCAAAAGGAAAAGTTCAATTGACATTCGTCTAATGAGCTACATTTACAATGAAGGAAAAAAGAAAAAACAATAAAATTGGCTAAGTGTGCAATACTGGGGAACTTTATAATACATAAAAACCTTGTTTGTAATTCTGAATATGATGTAAGCTGAATAACAGAAGGTTGTTCGACGAAATCAATATTGACAGAGCAGGATAATACCTTGAAGGCTTTGCTGGAGCCATTTCGACTGTTTTGTCCTGATGTGGCTTGCATACCACCAGGAACACGCATTGTTTGCGGCTCTCTGCAGCATCCCTCTCTCCCTGTCTCTCTCTCTCTCTCTCTCTCTCTCTCTCTAAGCCAAAACTGAAAGAGTGAAAAGCTCAATTACATGAGTCGTGATGAACACGAAGAAAAAAGAAAAGAGTCCCTGTCAAACCATCTTCATAGTTTTCTTCTGATATCTCTCCATCAACAAATCATTTGAGCTGTACATTTTTTTTTTTCTTTTGGGTATCATTTGGACTGTAGATTGAATGTCTGGAGAGATACTCGCGGCATGTGGAGGGGAGGAGAAATCGCCCGAAATTCGTGGCGAACCCTCAGTTACAAAGAGTTTGCTCCCTCTCTCTCTCTTCTTAAAGGTGATTTGGGCACATTCCTTTTTTATAGGGCACGCCAACTAAGAAAATTAATAGACAATAATGCCGTGGATTATTTCTTTAAATTTTAAAACAAGCACTTGATTTTCTTGAAGGGGTTGTTCGAAGAGATCTTTTACCAACAAAAACGTTCCAACCCTCTAGTAGCTTGATCTAACACCACATATCTCATCATCATACTCGAACCCACTATAAAAATGGGACCCGTCATATATGAGATGTGCGGTATAAGATCATATTCGTAAAAAGGTTGGAACGTGTTTAGACTCCTGTTGAAAAGTATGGTCATCTCGTGGATGAAGCATTTTGGTCCACAACACAGGATGAAGTATATGTTTATTGTGGCATGGACAAGACCGGTTTATGATACTAGTCCACAATATATTATGGATTGGCCTCGTCGACGAGCCAATTTCTCTTCAACAATTTTTTTTCATGGACACATTTGATCCACGCCCATTTATGTTTTTTGTAAGTACATGTTGTTCACCATGACTGTAACGGTAATGAAGATACCAAATTTGAACTACAGAAACACCTATGGTGACACACAAGCCAACAAAGACCCGCAACGAGTTCATAACTCGCCACGAATATGCGATGAACTTAAAGTTACCACAAACATACAATGAGCTCAAAGCCACCATGGATCTATAATGAGCTCAAAGCCACCACGAACCAGCGATAAGCTCGAAGCCACCACGGATTGGCAATGAACGAAAATACCATCAACTAAAGTTGCTCGTAGTAGGACATCCAGTAGGAATAAGCAGGATACGTTAGACAAGTCCTAACGCCACCTACGTCATGTCAATATAAGAGAACCGCGAAAGGAAGTAGCACATGTGTACTATGAGAATCCTTAGACGAAAGGAAATTTTGTCTTGGAGAGATCTCATGAGACACATGGCAAACCCCTACTAGTGTCTCCCTGGCAACTAACACGAATCAAATATCCCTTTTCTAAATAGGAGTCAAATCCTTTTTTGGCTCCTTCCCTTCAAAGCCTCAGGATCTTCCCTTATAAAAGGGGGTGTGAATCATAACTAACACACGACTTTGTTGATAGAAGTTTATAACCTAGCCTTCCTTCGTCCTTCAAGGAGACCACCACACTTAGCTTGACCACACTACTTACATTAGAATCTCTGGTTTATCTCTTGATCACGAAGGATGGTCACCCGTACAATCAACATTTCCCCTATCCCAAAAGAACAACCCAACAACCACAAGAATGCCAACCAAGAAATCGGGGATTAGATTGGTCAGGAATTCGCCGAACAGGCCGATATTGAAATCATGGCCAATAAGGTGTGCAATTTCGAAACTCATTTTGACTGATTGGAATAGATGCAGGCCAAGATGAGGAACACCCTACAACTACTATGATAGAAGACAACAACAGTTGAATACTTTCCGTTCACACCTGTTGGCCCTTCTGCGTCCGCCCCTGCTAACCACCTTGGAAGCTTGAACTCTAGAATGACTGATCATTCCTACAAAGCCAACCCTGCACCTGCACTAGACACGACACAGAAAACACGCCTCTCCACCGTTGAATAGGCTCACATGGTCCCACGGGATAATATGACGACGGAGGCACCCATCAGTCGAACCGAGATAAAGGAATATGTCTAGAGCTTAATGAAAGAAAACCATAACAAAACCCAGTCCACACTTGTGCTCCAGAAGCCCTATTCCAATCGCATCTTGTACAAACCATATCCCTCCGACTACATCCCTCTATAGCAATGGCCATAGTACGATAGGTAGAAGGGAAGCCCACAAGAGCACATCAATAAGTTCGAAGATGCACTGGGATTATTCACCTTGGATGGAGACTTGAAGGTTTGGGAGTTCTCCAAGTCCTTGATCGGATCAACATATTCATGGTTCGTCAACCTAGCAACGGGAAGCATCGACTCATGGGTAAAATTAGCGAAGAAATTCTTGTCCAAATGGTTTGCTCTTGAGCGAAGACTAACAATGGTGGATCTACACAACATAGAACAACGTGTTGGAAAAGACCTAGCCTATGTCATGCGAATTGAGAAATTGACACTCCTTTTTCAACGAGCATGCAACAAAAAAGAGTTTTGTGGAATAGTGCATACAGGGGATGCACCCAGCATACTGAATTAGAATTGAGAATGTCAAAGTCGAAACCTTTAGCCAACTTTGGAAGTGCGCAGAGAGAACGACACGTATTGTCACCAATACGGCATCACAGCCAATCTCGATAAGGTTGTAGTATGTCGTTGATCGTAGACCTTGAAACACTAGAGGGTCTAACCAAGGACCCTACTGATGTTGTCCGATCCAAGGTGTTTTGAACCAAGATCGCAATCAGATAGTCCTGCCAACTAGTGAAGCCAAGGTGGAAGGACGAAACTGTGCACCAAGATTCTAAAATCAAGAAAAAGATCATAGGCCCAAGGCGTTGGTCCCCGGGTAGGCACTCCAACACTCAAGTCAATGATATGAAAGGTAAGTGGTCGAGCCGAGCAGATGATAATAATGTTGGTCCGAGCAAAGGAGGCAAAATGATAGTCCGAGGAGTCAAAAGTCCCTTACCCTGAGTAGAGGTTACCTATTTATAGCCAAAGATCCATGTCCAATCCGGATGAGGCTTCTGGGATTGTGGGGATGAGGTTACCCACCGAGGTCTTCGGATAAGTCCTCTTCCCTGATGGAGTTGCCTTCCTGCGTGGTGCCAAAGTGGTTGGGGAGAGATAAGACGGCCACGGAGGCTGCCACGTGGCACCCAGGGCCAACTCAACCATAACCCAAACACCTAATGTCGTGGCAGCAACCAAAACCAAAGAAACGACCTACTACCACCACTTCTCCCCCCCCCCCCTTCACCTATAGTAAAAGTGATGTCATTATGATAATGAATAAACTTGTGGAAGATCGCGTGATCAACCTACCACCACCACCGCTCATGGTTGACCCCAGAAGGAAAGGCATGGGGGGAGGTGGTGTAACTATCATTAGTCACCAAACCATGATCTAATGGATTTGTTTCACTCTCTGATGGCTCTTTGTGCAGAAAGTAAAGCTAGATGATTTCATCAAGAGAAAGCCAACGTGGGTAGAGACTGATCCCTTCTCCACACACTCGAAAGGAGGCAATGTAAACATGGTCGRGTCGTCGGGAGGTGATCACGCGGACATGTTGATTCAATGGTTTGAGTAGAGTCTCGACTTACAACAGTTCCTCAGTAAACAGGGGCTAGTGCCATGACGTGATGACTTGCCATTAGAGCACTAGCGAAAGCTTTCAGAAGGCCGCTCGAACATCATCGCATGTGGTGCATCTTGGTGACACTAGCAAGTGCACTAACCACTTAAGTAATAGAGTAGTGAGTAGAGTATCGTTCCCACGAGGACTTATGTAGCAACTACTAGTAATAAATCAGTCTACTGTTATCTAATTAACCAAATTCTAAATCTAATTCAAATCTGAAAATCTAGCTAACAAATTATCTACTAGGCTAAAAATACTCAGAAATGATTCAGTAATTAACCCTCTAGATCATTCGAATAGAATTTGATTCAGCCTGGGTTTGGTGAAACCCCAAGGCAATGAGCAGCCTCTTTCAAGTGTCTGTTCATCCTATGCATGAATGATGATTCTTATATCTCTATCAAGAATCTAATCATTCATGCATGCATTAGATCAAACAATTCCATGGCATTAATTCAGATTAAATGATCACCAACTGAATTGTGCAAGTTATCTCTAATCTTGCATTCAAWTCARWTCTTGAKTAGCAGATCTGAAATTCTAGAGTCTTTCTCAAGCACTCTAGAATTTCCAAGAATCTAGAACAGATCAGCCAATACTGGATGATGAATGTCTGAATTCTCTCTCAAGCAATTCAGACATTACAAATTACAGATCTGAAATTTTAGATCTGAATTTGTAAGATAGAAGTTCGGCTGATCAGTTCTACAATTAAAATTCTAAACAAGAAACTCAAAGTTGAATCTGATCTATTCGAATGATTCAAGAAAACTAATTACAGAATTGAATTTACAACAATCAAACTCCCATTACAGCAAGAAAGAAAGACAGATGGAGAAATTACATAATCCCTAGCTGAATTCGAACACAAAGTATGCAAAAATTAAGTAAGAATGTAACCTAAATCTCTCAAGAGCTTCTCCTCCTTCGAATTTACCTTCTCCTCTTCTTGGAATGCTTGAATCTCCTCAGCCCCTTCTCTCTTGCGCCTAGCTATCTCTCTTCTCCTCTCCTTGAATTTCGAACCCAAGAGACCAAGGAGTCTTGAACTTAGGCAATTGAACACCATTCCTCTCCAAGAGACCTCCTTAAATAGGCTTTCAAGGAGTCTAGAAGCTGCCACCTCTAGCCTCTCTTGAAGCTTCTAGAATTTGCTGCCCTTTTCTCCTCTTGAACCTTTTAGAAAATGCTGCCCCTTTCTCTTGAACTCTCTAGAGGTTGCCGCCCCTAGCTCTTCTTGGGCTGCACTTTGGGCTGCACCTTGGCTGAAATTTGGGCTGTTTATGGCTACAATTTTAGGCTGCTTTTGAGCTGAAATGGGCCTCCTCTTTGCTGGGCCGAATTGGCTTTCTTGCTAGGCTCTCTCTTTGGGTTCTCCCAAAGAGTGTAGCATGGGCTGCATGGGCCGAGTGAACCTCTCTTGTTCTCTCGGTTGGGCCATGGTTCTAGCTGGGATAAATTACCTCAAATCTGGCTCTTTTCTTTTTGTTTTATGCCTTCTTTCTCCTGAGTTGGTTTCCCCTGAATTATTTCCTGAAATTAAGCTGAAATGGGTGAAACTCAAACAAACCGTCATAAAAATCATGCATAAATCCTTATAAATTGTATGTAAATTATGTACTCATCAGCATGAACAGATCCCATGTGGAATTCACCCCCGGATGATATGTTGGCCACGGACCCCCTCACAAGCGACCCCTATACAT